CCAGGTCTGTCTCCTCCTCCTCTTCCTCTTCCTCCTCTGTCTAATTTTGTGATACTGGAGATGGAATCCAGAGCCTGTGCAGAGGGCTACAGTCCCAGACCTTTTTGTAATCTTTTTAAACAAGATCTCACTCAGTCACTAAGTTGTTTGGGCTGAGCTCAAATTTGTTGTTCTCCTGCCTCAGCTTCCCAAGCTGGGATTTTTGCTGGGATTATAAATGTGCACCACCGTGTCTGACTTATGCCTTTGTTTTCTTTTCATAGAAACTATTTTCAAGTCAGTAGAGAACAGGCATTAACTTATGGAGATAATGCAAATGATTCCCGTTCATAGAAATTTAAATGAGTTTTATACAGGGAAGAGGCAACGGATTTCTGCCCTGCGGAAGAGATCACTTTTGCATCTGTTAGCAAATAAATTTCAACATTTCCAATTGTATATACATGTGTCTGTTCCTTAGATTCTCATTTAAATCACGTTTGACATCATACTGGTTCTCTCAATAAGTGATATACAGATCCACTTTATATTTGTGTGGCAGTAATAATTTTACTTTAAAAAATTATCCTTTTACAAAATAGTATCCCTGTATCCATTTTGGTCTCTCCTTGGCCCCAGCCAATCCAATTCACCATGGAGGAGATAGAGGCAGATTATCCAAGAGCTAATTTAATCCTAATCCTTCTTGGCTTAAAACTGATATACTGGGCCTGGGAGATAGCTCAGTGGCATAAGCACCTGCCTGGCAAGCACAAGGTCCTGAGTTCCATCCCTGGTGCCTAAAATAAAATAAAATGCAATAAGACGGATATACTATTACTATAGTTTTGATCCCAAAAGTCCTCCAAAGACTCATGTGTTGAAGGCTTGGCCTCTAACTCATGGCACTGTTGGGAGCTTGTGGAACCTTAAGCCGGCAGAAAGTGGAAGGAAGTGAGGTCACTGGAGATTTGCCCTGGAAGGAGATATTGGGACCCTGCTTCTCCTTTTCCCCGTCCTTTGGCCACCAGGAGGTAAGGGTTTCAGCCACACACTCCTTCTAACTCGGGCTTTTCCCATCGTGTGTGAGGACACCTTCCCTCCCTCTCTTTCCCCTTCTTTTCACCATTATCTGACTTAAAAAAAAAAAGAAACACCTATTCACCCAAGTCTTTTCCTAAACACTGATTTGCTGCTTTGGAAAGACTTCCTTGGGCTTCCATCCTTTTCCTTTGTAAGATCCGTGGGCGGCCAGTGCAACAATAGCCATTAGAGGCTTTAGTTATTTACAACCAGCTATGGAGCTATTTACAACTCTCTTTCCTAAAGACCGCAAACCCTAAGAGGCAGAAGCCATATCAGTTGTCATCCCCTTGTCCCCTTTGCTTTGTTTGGTGCATGATATCTTGGAGGCACTTAATAGAAGTATTCTTTATTCATTGGCAGAGGGTGTGGCAGCACAGGTGCGAGGGTGAGGAGGGTGCGCATGAAGGCTGTGGTGACCACTTGGTTCCTCAGGGCCCAGACTCCTCCCACCTTGACGTCTGGGCACTCTGCAGTTGAGTATTGTGTTTATTGATCTTGGACTATTCTTTATTTCTTTTTTTTTGTGTGTGGCCCTGGGTATTGAACCCATGTCCTTTGCATTGAGCTATATCTCCAGTCCTTATTTTATTTCAAGGGTTTTTTTTTTATTAGTACAGTATATGTTTGCAGTACAAAACAAATACATTCATCATGGGTAATTGGTACGGCCACATGACCTCTGTTCCCCTTTATAGATCCTTTTCCTTTTCCTCCCTCCCTACTCATTCTAGCTCTTAGTTCCCCTTCCTTTTTGCCAAAGATCTGCCTATTTCCTATTGTCTATCTTTTATTTTGAGCTTTGATTTATTTTTGGTTTCTCATGTAAGACAAACCATGCATATTTAATCTTGTGTATCTAATTTCACTTACAATTATGGCCTCCGGGTGCATTCATTTTCCTGCAAATGGCTCAAGTTTATCTTTCTTATGGCAGAGTAGTATTCTACTGTGGATAAATGCCACATTTTCTTTATCCACTCATCTGTTGACTGATACAGAGATGACTTACAGGATTAAACTATTATGGATTGTGCTGCTATAAAAGGGTACACATCCACCACTGTAATGGGATGTCTTTGACTCTTTCAGGAAGATATGCAGAAGGGAATGGTTGGGTTGAATGCAATTTCTATCTTAAGTTTTGCTTAGGAATTGTTATACTGATTTCCATGGTGGTTGTACTCGCTTACATCCCCAGGAACAATGTACATAGGTTTTCTTTTCCCAACAGCCTTGCCAGCATTTGTTATTGTTTGATTTCTTGATTTTTTTTTTTTTTTTTTTGGTGTAAGATGGAACCATAACATTGCTTTAATTTTTATTTCTCTAACGACCACTGACACTGAACAATTTTTCATGTATTTATCGAACATTTGTATTTCTGCAAAGTATCTATTTCAGTCGCCAATTTTAAAAACATCTTTTAGTTTGAGAGTCTACTTTTTTGGAGTTCTTTGTATGTTCTAGATATTAATTTTCTGAGGTTTTATAGATGATAGAATTTTTTATAGATGATAAAAAATTCCCTATTCTGTAGGTTGTATCTTTTTTTTTTTTTTTTTGTGGCCAGCTCAGCCCACCCTGGGGGCAGGGCTGGCATGGCAGGTGGTGCTGGGGATTGAACCAGCAGTCCCTGCACATTTGCCTAAGCTTGTTTAAGCAGGTGCTTTAGATTGCGGAGCTATTCTGCCAACCCTATAGGTTATATCTTTATTAACTATTTATTTTTATTTTATTTTATTTTTTGTGGTACAAGGGATTGAACTCAGGACCTTGTGCTGCTTTTTTTTTTTTTCGGTACCAGGGATTGAACTCGGGACCCTGCGCTTGCCAGGGAAGCATTTATTCTATCGAGCCATCTCCCTGGCCCAAGGACCCTGTGCTTGCCAGGCAAACACTTATTCTACTGAGCTATCTCCCTGGCCCTTATTTTGATTTTTAACTTAATTTATGTAGAAGCTTTTTAATTCAAAATGATCAGATTTGTTGATTTTTTATGTCATTTCTTGTGTTCTATTCAGAAAGTCCTTGCCTATGCCACCTTTAATTGTAATTTAGTACATGGTGAGAGATACAAATCTAACTTCAGTCGCTTGCAATTTCCTTAGCACCACTTGCTAAAGATGTTCTCTTTGCTCCAGTGTATATTCTGGGTCCCTTTGTCAAAGACCAAGTGACTGAGTATGTCTGGGGTTCTCTATGTGCTCTATTTCATCGGTCCACATCTGTGATTTTGTACCAGTACAATGCTATTTGTGTCACTATAACTTGAAGTCTGGGATTTCCAGGCCCCTACTTTGCTCTTATTACTCAGGGTTGCTTTTGCTGCTCCAGGTCTCTTCTGCTTCCATTTGAGGATTGTTGTTTGTGTTTTGATTGGGATTGCATTAAATCTGTATTAGTTTGGGAACAACACTGGTTCTGCCTACCCAAGAAGAGGGGATGTCTTTTCATTTTCTAATGTCCTCTTTGATCTTTTTTCAGAGAACTATGGTTTTGTTACAGAGGTCTTTCGCTTCCTTAGTTAGATTAACTCTGAAGTATTTAATTTTTCTTGCTGTTATGAATGGTATTGTTTTTCTAATTTATTTCTTGGGAGTATAGGAATGCTATTTATTGATTTTTGTCTGCTGATTTTGTGTCCTGTTACATTGCTTTTATTTCTTTATGTTGAGACAAGTTTTACTAAATTGCTGAATTGCCTGAGTTGGACTTTAATTTGTAAACCTCCTGCCTCAGCCTCCTGGATTGCTGGGATTACTGATGTATGACACCATGCTCTGCTAGTTTTTTTTTTTTTAATACTCATAATTTTAATGGTTGATAGCTTCAGGTTGGCTCTTTTTTCCGGTGGTACCAGGGATTGAACTCAGGACCTTGCACTTGCCAGGCAAGCACTTATTCTACTGAGCTATCTCCTCAGCCCTCTGGTTGGCTCTGAATGGCACAGTTAAACAATATTACTTAAAGAAAAAAAATATAACTTAAAGACCCCCAAGTGCGTTAACGCCCTCCAGCAGAGTGATCTCTCTCCACAGTCCACTGCTTAGTTAAGACTTCCATAGCCTCAGACCCCCTCCAGGGTTCTAGAAATCACAGTTTTGTAATAAGCTGAAAAAAACCCTTGGTACAGCCATGATCTGTGTTCTTCTCAAGAATTAACAAATATTAAACCAAACACCTTCCCAGGCTCTGCTGCCTCACAGAGCAAAAAGTGTTGTCTCAGCAATCCAAATCCTTTGTGCCCTCTTGTCTCTTGCAGGCTGTGTGTTTCTGTTCCTCTCCCTGTTCACTGGAGTCATACAGCATAGAGTTCGTAAGTCTTCTTTACACAGTACACCAAGGCAGCCAGTGCTATCGTGTTGCGCAGTCTCTTTCTGTGCAGGCTGTCCTTCCGGACCAGCACCACTGGGGTAGAGGAGGTGAGTGTGTGCAGAGGCAGTCGAGACAGTTTATAGGCATCGTACTCCACTTGGTACTTGCAGCAAGGGTCAGACTGCCAGGAGATCCCACAGAGGGTGCAGCAGGCCAAGCTCAACACACCAGCAGGCAGGGAGAAGTAGTGGGAATAATCTAAGGGAAGGGCCAATGGGGTAAAGAGGCAGGCGGTGCCAGCCAGCAAAGCTGTCTTATGCAGGCAGTTGCCCACGGTGATCCAGCGCGCTGTCTCGTCATCAATTTGGGTGGGCTCAATGACAATGTACTTGTACTGGGCTTCCAGGGCCTGTTCCAGCTCATACTCAAACTGGTCCTGGGCATTCTCACTATTGTAGATCTCGTGCGCGATGTAGCAGTCCGTGGCTGACAAGGTTACCATTCCAGCAAACACAGGACTCAAAGATGCTCAGAGACCCTGAGAGAGCAGCACCAAGCAGCTCGTGTAAGACAGGTGAGGCTGTCTGTGAGCTGGTCCAGACTGGCACACAGGGAGCAGAAAACACAGATTCCTGCTCTGTACTTTCCTAGATGCACAAGGATGCCTCAAAGATGCCGTCAGGACAAGTGGCAATCTGTAGGATGTGCTTGCTGCCAGTATGTTGAATTCTGGACAAGAAATCAAGTTACAGCTCAGAGTCTGATGTTCTTCATTACAAATACTGTTGAGTCCCTCTCTTGGGCACTGCCACTGCGGCTGCTGCCCAGGCCCAGACGCCTCCTTCCCCACGCGGCCATCTTGGAGACACCCCTGCTAGTTTTGAACTGTGTTGAATCATTGCTTCAGAAGGATCAAAACAAAATGAACAAATCAAATCCTGATTTTTTTTTCTTCATTTGCCATTAATCTCTGAAATGAGAATGCTCCCAAGTATTTAAAAATGAAAACAGTTTGCCAGTTTCTCAAAAGAGTAAACATAGAGTCACCCCACGATCCAGTAATTCTTCTAGTCCTAGGTAGACACCCAAGAGAAATGGAAACACATGTCCACGCAGAAACTTATACAACAATGTTGGTGGAGTTATTATTCATAATAGTCAGAAAGTAGAAATAGCCCAAATGTTCATCAATTGCTTATTGGATCTATCATATCTATATCTGTATCTAGTGGGCCCATACAATGGACTATTACTTAGCCATAAAGGATGAATCTTGAAAATATTGTGAGAACATTATGCCATGCCAAACACAAAAGGCCATATGTTGTATAAATCTACTTATAGGAAACATTCAGAATAGGCAAATCCATAGCAACAGGAAAGTTAATGTTTTCCTGGAGCAGGAGGTCTGGGGAGAAATAA